GCTTCTCCCTCTCCCACTCCCCCTGCTTGTGTTCCCTCTCTCGCTGTGTCTCTCTCTGTCAAATAAATAAATAAAATCTTAAAAAAAAAATTTCCTCTTTCTCTTTTCCACTTTTGCCCTCCCTTCTCTCCTCCCCTCCCTTCTTTTACCTTCTTCCTCCCCATCCTCCTCCTTTTTTCTTTTTTCTCTTTCTTTCTTCTCTAACCATCAACATCTCCCCGATCCTTCCTTCTGCTCAGCTTCGTTCCACCATGCCCAAAGCATTCCTGCTGCTGTGCATTGCCCTGGTGCTATTTGGGCTTGTGCATGGAGCCACGTTGAGAAATGAAGAGAAATGGAAGTCACTCAACAACCCCAGAAACCGAGATCTGGTAAGAGCATACACTGGGACATGCTGGGCTACAGGGTGAAATTAACACGTCTCTGGACTGCCCTCTGCTAGAGCACAGTGGAGAGGAGGCTACCAAGTGCCAAGAAGATTCCTTAACAGGACTGGTCAAGGGCTTTGCTAGTCTCGTGGCTGGTATCCTATTGTTCTTCTGGCCAATTTACATCTGTTTCTGTAAGGATAAACAAATTTAGATTTGTTATACAACACATTACATTTGTAAATGATCTTACATACACATTGACTTTATAGACTGGATTTCTCATAGATACACAAAATCAAGAGCATAGCGGGGAAATTATTTTTGCACAGTTCAGATTGATAATAAAACAGATTCTCATATGACCAACATATGCAAAGCTCAGTTGCAAAGACTGAAAATTGACCTACATTCTTATCAATTTACCAGGCATTATTTTCTTGCTTTTTTTTTAAGATTTATTTTTAAGTAATCTCTATATGCAATGTGGGGCTTGAACCCACAACCCCAAGACCAAGAGTTGCACCTTCCACTGACTGAGCCAGCCAGTACCCCCTTCCCCCCCGCCCAGACATTATTTTCAACATAAAGTTATCTAGGAAATAGAATTCAAAACATCAGCAAAAATTCTCTTTTAAAAATATGCCAAATACAATAAACATGCTGACATTACTATTTCAAAATACTATTTCCTTATGGAAACTGATGTAAAATATAACAATATAGGGTTCAAACAACCAAGTAGCCCTTTGCAAGCTTCTGTGTATCCATTTCCTAAAGGAAAGCTGCAAAACTGCATCTAAAAGCTCTGGTGTAGAAGACAATGCCTGGGATCTCACTTTCAGTCAGAGAGGAGGCATGGAGCTCTGATCACTGTGAAATTCATTTTAATCTCTGACCTAAGTGGTTCAGAGGTGGTTTACAACAAACCCTCTGACTGTGATGCTATTAAATAATTGATATTCCTCTCTCAATCTCCACCAAGAATGCTAAATTATCTTGTTTAGGGTTGAAATGTCAGAAAGAAGGCAGGTAAAGAACAGTGGAGGGTGATGTAGGAAAGAATGTTAGGGTTCAAAGCCGACAGACAAGAATTCTTGAGATAACTTTGGTGCAAAAAGTGATTTTATTAAAGCACAGGGACAGGACCTGTGGGCAGAAAGAGCTGCACTGGGGTCGTGAGGAGTGGCCCATTATATACTTTCAAGGCGGGAGGGGACTAAGGATAGGGTAAGTCTCTAAGGATCTTTGGAAGCAAGGTTTCCAGGATCTTGAGGGGGCTAACTATTGTTGGGAAAAGGTCATTTATTACTGTCTAATAAAACCTGAGTCCTGAAACCCTTCAGATGTATATTGGTGGGTCATATACTTGGGGGATGATTGCTGACATGTATCTTGGGAGGTATAGATAAAGGAAGTTTCCAAAGGAATTTTTATACATTAAAGTAGACTTACAGAATCCTGGGGGTTGGGCTAAGATTGCTTTTGCCCTTAGCAAAGTATCAACATTGAGGCAGCTGAGTCCCTGGAGGAATGTCACTCTGCCTGTTTCAAGGATTTGTCAATGGCCTGTAAGTAGTAAAGAAATTTAATAATTTTTCTTCTGCCTTTGATTCCCACATCTGAGGGGAAGAAGGAGAAGTAGTAAAAATATGTATTTCTATTTCTGGGTTTTCCACCTCCTGTCTCCTAGATTAGCCCTTAAGTCAATTCACAGATGGAAAAAGAGAGGGGAAAATATCTGTCTCTGAGTATTTTTTATGTTTAATTTACCTATAGCATTGAACACTTTCTTTCTCTCTTCAGTTTTTCAGAACCCTTCAGGCATATTTTAAGGGAAGAGGTCTTGATCTCGGGAGGTTTCCAAACACTTTCTTCATGAATGAGAATCCTAGACCTCTCTCTTTCCAATCAGAACTTCTTGCTTCTGCATTTGCAGATTATGAAGAGCAGAAAAACTCCTTTCCTAATTACCTCAAAGGCTGAATGTTTCCTCTGAACACAGGTAAGTTATTCCTTTATCCCCAGGATCTGTCCAATTATACAACTCAGTCATAAAGAGATTTTGAAAGTATTTTTTGGAAAAATGGTTTTATTTTCTCATAGAAACATGTGCTCAGTTCTGATGATATTCATCACTATTAATATTTGGATTTGGTCCTTGTATTTCATCGTGTAGTTTTAAAAAGAAATAATAGTTTGGGCACCTGGGTGACTCAGTTGGTTAGGTGTCTGACTCTTGATCTCAACTCAGATCTTGATCTCAGGGTCATGAGTTCAAGCCCCATGTTGGGACTTAAAAAAAAAAAAAAGAAATGACAACTTATGATTTTTTTTCTTTTTTTTAATTATGTTAGTCACCATATAGTACATCATTAGTTTTTGATGTAGTGTTCCATGATTCATTGTTTGCCTATAACACCCAGTGCTCCATGCAATATGTGCCCCCGTTGCCCCTAGTCTTATTCTTATTACCTTAGCTTTCCTATCAAATAAATATTTACCATTAAAATAAACCAGGTATGCTGTATTCCAAGAAAATACATTGTGATTCTAGTCTATTAGCTTTTTGTTTGGCTCAATAATAAAGGGAACTGAATCATAATTAAAATCTACTCCCAGGGGCACCTGCGTGGCTCAATTAGTTAAGCGTCTGCCTTCGGCTCAGGTCATGATCCCATGGTTCTGGGATTGAGTTCTGTGTTCGTCTCCCTGCTCAGCAGGGAGCCTGCTTCTCTCCCTCTCCCTCTGCTGCTCCCCCTGCTTGTGCTCTCTTGCTCTCTCTCTCAAATAAATAAATAAATCTTTAAAAAATAAAAAAATAAAAAATAAAATCTACTCGCATTCTTCCACAAGCTAGGGATGGAATTCTGAGGAGGTATACCCTTGTTGCACTTTATTGTGCATGTGAAAGGGTTTTGATTATTAGTTCCTTCTTAAATGTGATGATTTTTTAAAATAATGTTTCTTATTCTAACAGGAAGATACAATTTACCACGTGGCACATGCACATCACAGCTCCTACAATGAGAAATAAGACAGAAAAAACAGAAAGATGTTAATGAAGGGTTCCCTTGACTATTATTCACACTTAGGCCCTAGGCTATTAGACACTAAAACAGAACAGTTGTTAATACTACAATGGAATATTACACAGCCATCAAAACCCCCGAAATCTTGCCATTTGCAACAACGTGGATGGAACTAGAGGGTGTTATGCTGAGCGAAATAAATCAATCAGAGAAAGACAAGTATCATATGATCTCACTGATAGAAGGAATTTGAGAAACAAGGCAGAGGATCATAGGGGAAGGGAGGGAAAAATGAA